GTCTGGCACCAACAACCATGCCACGCTCAAAATTGCTAAAAAATTGCTCAAAATTCTTTCCCATTCTGACATTCAGTTTGGAGTTCAGGAGATTGCCTTGATCAGGACCACACCCCTAAATGCATTGAAGCAACTGCCATGTGATTGGTTGATTAGATAATTGCATTAATGAGAAATTGAACAGGTGTTCCTAATAATCCTTTAGGTGAGTGTATATATATACTGTAGTTGTGCTTCAATGACGAAACGACACCAGGATGTAGTCAACATGTATACTTCTGCACAGAAAACAATTAACACAAAGGTCTTTTTTTTCTCCTCCTTTCTGCACCTCTCACCGTCATGGCATGTTTCAAAAAGAGAAGCGCGTGCGCGCGAAAAGTGAGTGCGCGCATAAAACAATATTACATATCTGCACAGAAAACAATTAACACTTGGTCCTCAGCTGCCACCTCTTTAGCGAGTTTCCTTGGAAGAGGGAGACGACTCAGACCATCAGCATTACTGTTATTTTTGCCTTCTCTGTATTTAATGACATACTCATAGGCTCTTAATAACACCGCCCATCGCATGATCCTCTGTGACGCCATCTGAGGGACGGCCTTCAACTCATGGAACAAACTTATCAATGGCTTATGATCCGTGATAATCATGAACTTTCTGCCGTACAGGTACTTATGGAAATACCGTACACCAAATATCACAGCCAATCCTTCTTTATCCAGCTGTGAGTAGTTCTTTTCTGCTGCATTCAGGGTACGTGATGCAAATCCAATGGGTTTTTCCTGACCACCTGGCATGCGGTGAGCTAATACTGCTCCTACTCCATAAGGGGAGGCATCGCACGAAAGAATTAAATCTTTTTGCTCATCATAATGTACCAATACACTGCTTGACTGCAACAGCTCTTCTGATTTGCAGAAAACCTTCTCCTGTGCTGGTCCCCAACACCATGGTTCCCCCTTTCTCAGAAGCTTGTGCAGTGGGGCCAACAGCGTGGACAAACGTGGCAAGAACTTATTATAGAAGTTCAACAACCCCAAATAAGCTTTCAGCTCAGTCACCGATTTTGGGGATGGCGCCTCCTGCACTGCTTTCACTTTCGCTGGCACTGGATGTAAACCGGTCTTATCCACCCGATGTCCTAAAAATGTCACTTCCTTCTCCATGAATTGACATTTGCTCCTTTTCAAGCGCAGGCCCGCCTCCTCCAAGCGCTGCAGCACTCCATCCAGTGTTTGAAGATGTCCTTTGTCATTCTTTCCTGTCAAGATGATGTCATCCAGATACACTGCGACATCAGTCAGGCCTTGCAACACACTCTCCATGGTGCGCTGAAAAATGGCAGGACTTGAACTCACACCAAATGGCAACCTGGTGTATGTAAACAAACCCCTGTGTGTGTTCACTGTGACATACTTTCTAGATTCATCATCAAGCACAACCTGTTGATATGCGTGACTCATATCCAACTTAGTGTATTTTTCTCCTCCCGCCAGCCCCGCTATCATGTCCTCCATTCGTGGAATGGGGTATTGTTCTACAGGCGACACCTTGTTAACAGTCAGCTTGTAGTCACCACAAATTCTGGCGCTGGAGTCTGGCTTTAGTATGGCTACGATGGGTGCGGCCCACTCTGAGAATTTCACTGGTTGGATGATCTCCTCCTTCAACAGTCTCTCCAGTTCCTGCTCCACTTCCAAGAAATGGGCTTGTTTGCCTTGTCTGCCACGCCCTCCTTTTTGTTCCATTTTCATTCGGCAGACCCTTTTTATGTGTCCCACCTTTCCACAGTTGTGGCATGTTTCCGAAACAAACCTGCAGTCCCCGGCGACATGATTTAGCCCTCCACATCTGTAGCACTTCCTGACAACCTGTTGTGACGTCGAGCCGCTGTCCTCCATCTTGTTCACCGCTCCTAATCCTTTAGCGAATCGCGACTGTTCCGTCATGCTTTTCAAGTCCACAATGTCTCTGTTAGCTGCCTCTATTGCTCGAGCAAACTTCAGTGCCTTTTCAAATGTTAGCGAATCCTCTGCTAACAATCTGCGCTGTATCCTGTCGTCGCTTATTCCGCACACCAAACGATCCCGCAGCATCACCGTCAGGGAATCTCCAAAGTTACAGTCCTGTGCAAGCTTCCTCAGCTCCGCTACATAATCGCCCACGCTTTCCTCCGGTCTCCTATTCCGCGTGTTAAACTTCCACCGCTGCACAATTTCACTCGGCTTAGGGTGAAAATGATTGTTCAACAATCCCACCAACTCAGCATACGAACGATCCCCTGGCTTGACCGGACTGAGTAGGTTTCTAATCAAGGCATAGGTCTGTGCGCCCACGCAACTCAACAGTACCGCTCGCTTCTTCTCCTCCTCCTTAATATCATTCGCCACAAGGAAGTAATCCAAAATCTCACAATATTCCTCCCAGGATTGCAGCTCACTGTCGAACGGCGCCACCGAGCCCACTGTGGTAGCCATTATTCCACACCGAAGGTTACGCTCCGCTTCCAACAGACGCTAGCGCTGTACCACTTGCCGGTCTCACTTCACAAATCACTTATCACTGCGCAACTTTACAGCAACCCCTGGCTTTTACCCTCGTTGCCATATGTGATATCCTAAAACTCAGGAACCACGGAGACCATGCTTAACTCACAGTTGCTGCTTTATTACCACCCTCGCGCATGCGCCCGCCCCGGCTGGACAAACTCCCCAACATTTTGCTTGCTTCCGCCTGTTCGCGCACATTGTAAAAAAAATCTATTGTAAAATGTCAGTCAAAAGTCTGGCAGGTCCTGAAGACCAATAGTGCTGATGTATATTTGCATAGCATGACAGGGTACTGCCTTTGTTTAAACTTTTAACCATGATGTTGTTGAATCAGAACCTGCCAGACTTTTGACTGACATTTTACAATAGATTTTTTGTAAAATGTTGCCTATATGTTGCATAAAAATAAATATTTTCTGAGTGGCAATGTTACCATTGCTCATATTTCTTTATGATATAAGGCTTCGGTTTAAGATGACATTTCTTAGGCATGCAGATTATTTGTCTCTCCTTTAAATTGGAGCGATTTGACTGGAGCGGGAGGAAATTTTAGTGGAGCGAGGAGCGGTGTTGAGCCGAGCGGCTTACTGCGAATTAGACCGAAGGACTGGGCGGAGCCAACAGCCTCGTGAGCAAGGAGCGGCTCACCGCTCCACTCGTAAATAAATGTCCGTATAGCACAGAAAAGCTGGCGCACCACCAAATGTTGCGCCTGTCATCTGAAGCCCCAGTGATTATTGCGCATGCGTGATTTAATATCGCTCAGCCCTAATTTCAATGTACCTCTACTCGTACTTGGCTGAATCTGAATGCTGTTATGATGACTGCTAAAGGCACAGTGACCCACGCTGTTGAGATTGTTGTTCTGTCCCCCACCTGCCTTCTAGGATGACTTAGAGAAGCTCGAGCTGATCCAGGCACAGCTGTTGCTTCTGCTGCACGCCCAGGAGTGCCAGCAGCGCAAACAGGCCAATGAGGAGGAGTGGTCATGCACTAAGCCCCAGTGCTACAACATGAGGAAGGTCCTGAAGCACATGGACAGCTGCCAGGCCGACATGACCTGCCAGGGTGAGTTCAGGACCGCACTTCCGTTTCCACTCTTCTGGATGGATTCAGCCAGGAGGAGGATTAATTTACCTTTGGCTTTTGCACTGGCCTTCACTCCAGTGCCAGGTGTGTTTCTGTCAGTTTGAACCTCTCTTTGTGCCCCTGCAGAGCATCTCTGCACTTTCTCCCGCCAGCTCATCTCACACTGGGAGTTCTGCACACAGGACGATTGTCTGACTCTCCATTTTACAAAAACAAAATGAGTGACAAGTGGAGTAACCATGTAAGTT